CAGGTAGACCTGGGTTTAAATCCGTCCTCAGATACAAGCTGCATGACTTTGAGCAAGTCATTTCCCAGTTCCCTGCCTCAGTTTCCTAATGTGTAAAATGGAGCCAATAATAGCACCTACCTCCCAGGGTTGCCGTGGGGATCAAATCTGTAAAGTGCTTGGCACATGGCGGGTGTTATAAACCTTGTTTCCTTCCCCCTTTACCCACATGAATCGCACCTGCTCTGAGGAGTGAATTGACTTGCCTAGGGTCACCAGAGTGTGACAGCTTCTCTGTCAACACCACCTCATTGCCCCCACATCCACCCTAAAATCTAGTACTTTGAGCTGCTTCCCTGAACGCCTCAGTGCTAGGAACAGAAAAGACCCCTTTCCCTTCCCTCAGCCACCTGTCCCTACTCTGGTTGGGTTCAAAGGAGGCTGGTGAGAAGAGCGATAAAAGCGAGGGGTACCCTGCGCCCTCCTTTACTCAAGATGTCCCAGCGTAAGCACTGAGGCCTGGCTGGGGTCAGAGAGTGGGGACAATGAGCCCAATCTACCAGCAGAGGGCTGAGAGGAAAAGATGGGGCTTCCCTGGAATCGGATGTTTCCAAGCTGGAAGGGTCTTTGGAGGACACTTATGTGTTTGTGTCAGTTAACCACCAAGCGTTTCTGAAACTGTGGCTGGTAGTGAGGGTGCTGAGACAGACTTGGATCAGTCCTGCCTTGTAGCAGCTTACATTCAATAATGAGGGAGAGAGAGAGAAATTGAGGAGGAGGAAGGAATAGAGGGAGAGAGAGAGGAAAGGGAGAGAGGAAGGAGGGGGTGGGAGAGGAAGGAGAGATGGGGCTAGAAAGGAGAGACAGAGAGAGAAAGAGTAAAGAAGAAGAAAAGAGAAGAGGGGGAGAAAAGAGGGAGAGAGAGGAGAGAGAATGTATGAAGGACCAACTCTTCTCCAAGCACTGTGGTTTTCACTGAGGATAGAAAAAAGAGAAAATGAAATCAGCCCTGCTTTTAGGGATCTTCATTTTGATGGGGGAGATGTCCATCACCCTCCTAAGCTCTGATCCCCAAGGTCCCTTCTGCCCTCAGCCACCCCAGCATCTTTAGGGTCTCTTCCAGCCTCAGAGTCAGATCCTAGGATTCTTAGGCTGCCTTAGATTAGACAGAGCATCCAGGATGTGGAAGGTAATAGAATAGAAGGAACTCCAGAAGCCCTTTAGATCAACCCCTTCATTTTAAAGAGGGGGAAACTGAGGTATAGAGCGGCCAAGGGGCTTACTGAAAATCGCAGGAGTGAGTAACCATGGCAGGACTTGAACTCAGATCTTCTGGCTCCAGAGCAGGACTCTTTCCACTGTGCCTACTTGCCCACAGCTGGTTTGACTGGATGGCCAGCTTCAAGGTTTCAACTCTGAGAGACTGAAGCCGAGCCCCAGAGAGGCCACAAAATTTGCCCAAAGGCCCGCAGCAAACTCAGGGCAGAGCCCTGAGGACTTCACACCAGGCCCTCCACTCTCCGCTCTGGTGAGCTACCAGCCTGCCGCCCCCTCCCCCAGATGGATGGCAGCCGCTCTGGCCGGGTCCCCCAGGAGGAAGTAGGGAGAGTCACCCAACCTTAGCTCGGCTCCGCAGGGAGCTGGTGAAGAAGCCTCCAAATTCGACAGATGTTTCCTCAAATGGCCAAAAGCAGGAGCTGTGGGGAGGGCTTGGTGGGGTAGAGGGGGAGGTGTCGGGGCTGGCAGCTGGGAGAGGAGGCTCCAGATTGAACTAGAAGGAATGCAGCCACACCTGATGGGGCTTTAAATAGCATCACCTGAGGCTGGGGAGGAGCCCACCTGTTGGGCAGGAGGCCCTGCAGCTGGTGTAACTAAGAAGGGAGAGGGGTGCAAGGTGTACGCCTGAAATAAGGCACATGTTGAGATGAGACAGCATGGGGCATGTAGCTGAAAGGGCTGATGCTCCAGCCACGGATCCAGATTCAGCTCCTTACTTTGCCAAATGAACACTTACTTCAGTGACTTTGGCCAAGTTAATCGATTTCTCTGGGATTAAGGTTCCTTTAGTATAGAATGAGGGGGTTGGACTAAACCTGGAAGGTGTTTTCAAGCCCTGACTCAGTGGTCCCAAACCATCCAATCACAGAACCATCTTTTCACAGAATCATTGCACCCCAGAGCTGGGAGGGTTCTCCGAAGGTATCCAATCTTCCCACCGCATACAGGGATCTCCCTCTAACATCTCCCCTCATCTCTGCTTAAAGATCTCCAGTGATGGGGGAATCCCTCACAGCACCCCATTCCATTGCACACCTCTGTTGTTTTTTTAAATTTTGTTTTGTTTTTAGGCAATTGGGGTTAAGTGACTTGCCCAGGGTCACACAGCTAGTGAATGTCAAGTGTTTGGTCTGAGGCCGGATTTGAACTCAGGTTCTCCTGATTTCAAGGCCAGTGCTCTATCCACTGAGCCACCTAGCTGCCCCGTGCACACCTCTGTTTTTCAGGATATCCTCCCTTAGGCTGGAATGCTGGAAAGTTTTATGCTTTGGGTCAGCACGGGGAAACTGTCAGCATGGGAACCCCTCCACCAAGCAAGCTCCTGTGGTCACTGGATCACAGGTCTAGACCTGAAGGCTTTGACAAAATAGGTGACAGGGCCAGGATTTGAACCCAGATCCTCGGACACCAGTAGTTAAATCTGTTGCTTGCCCAGGCTCACACAGCTAGTCAGGCTCTGAGGCAGTATTTGAACCCAGGGCTTCCTGACCTGGCGCTCCAGCCACTGTACCAGTCTATCCCAATGTGGTGGTCTTGATACTGGGTTGAAGCCTCACTCCTTGTGTCTTGTCTTCCTTGGTCCCAGCTCTGTCATCTGGAGCCACAGGGGCCAAAGTTCCTCCCTCTTACACAGCAACCTATTTGAAGATGGACAGCTAGGTGGTACAGTGGATAAAGCACTGGCCTGGAGTCAGGAAGTCCTGAGTTCAAATTTGTCCTCAGACACTTACTAGCTGTATAACCCTGGTCAAGTCACTGAACCTCTGCATGCCTCAGTTTCTTCATCTATAAAATAAGTATAATAACAAGCACCTACCTTCCAGAATTGTTGTGAGAATAAAACAAGATCACATTTGTAAACCCCTTTGGCAATCTTACAGAACTGCTAGCCTTTGTTATTTCACATTCCTCTTCCTCATTCATTCTAGACAAAGTGTTCAACTTTCTGTCTGCCAAACTCAGATTCTCTCTCCTACCTCCTCACCTTTGTGTCAGTGTCTGGAATGCAGCCCCTTCCTCCTGCATCCTAGAATGCCCTTCCCTGCTCTTCCTTCAAAGTTCAGTTCAGGTGCCATGTCCTATGAGTTGGCTTCTCTGATCCCTCCCCACGCCGCCCCCCTCACCCCCCCGTGCTGTTACCCTCCTCAAATGGCTTTAGATTCACTTCTCAGTGTATGTGTTTCATTTTTGTCCTTGTCCCCCAGGGCCTGGCAAAGTACTTGGCATACAGCAGGTTTTTAATAAGTGCTTCTGCAATTGAAGAGGATTAAAGTTGGTCCCCTCTCTGGGCATCAGTTTCTTCATCTGTAAAATGGGACAATAATACTTGCCTTACCTTTCTCCCAGGGCTGTTGTGGGGAAAGTACTCTGGAAAGCAGTTACCCAAATACGGGCTGTTCTATTCTCGGTGCCACCATCGAGCAGCAGCCCAGGGGAGAGGACAGAGCACAGAACAGGGACTCAGAGGGGTCTGGATTCAAACCCTGACATAGCAACTTAGAACCAGCATGACCTTGGACCCCTGAGCCTCAGTTTCCTCATCTGCCAAATGAAGGGGTTACACCACATGATTGCCAAGGTCCTATGCAGACCTTCTATGTGTGACTGTGCTGATCATGAGACAAGGTTAGAGGAACCCCTTGGATTTAGTTTAGCTGGACTTGAGGGCTGATGGCAAATAAGTGTGGAGAGGTCAGTGCAGGGCCCTGAGTGCCAGGCTAAGGAAATGATATTTGTCTCGTAGACAATGGGGAGCTCCTGAAGGTTTTTCGAGTAAGGGAGTGACCTGGTCAGACAGATGGGGAAACTGAGGCCCAAAGAAGGCCACAGAGCTCATTAGCAACCAAATCCAATGTTATTTCCAGTGTACTATAATGCTTAAGGAATTAGATTGAGGGGGAGCTACTGGGGAGAGGGTGTCTCTGGGAAGAAAGGCTGAAGCTTGAGGGGGGGGAGATAGCACTGCCCCCCCCATGGAGGCTTCCTGCCCCCACCCCATCTGCCAAGTATCTCCATCTCCCCCAGACTGGACAGAAACTCTTCTGCTCCCTGACTCCAGCTGGACAGCCCCACCTGGTTCCTGCGGCTGGGAGAAGGTGGGGAGGGTGTAGCAGGGAGGCCTGGCAGGAAGCAGGAGGGGAGCCCCAGCCCTGCCCAGCCACGTCCCTGAAAACTGGAGGAGAGCTGGCCACCTCAGCAGGAGGGGCCTCTCTCCCAGCTCCTGGACAGCTGCCACCACCGCCGCCGCCGCTTCCTCCTTCCTATGCCTTGCCCCGGCAGTGGCTCCCCCGCAGCCCACCAGTAACTTGAGGAGCGGGAAGGTCCGGGATTCCAAGACTCCACTTCCTGGCTCCCCAGGAGTCTCCTCCCACCCCCAAGGCCCTGGCCAGCCCAGCCACGTCACCGCCTGCTCCAGGACTGGGGGAAGAGGTGAGGGTGTCCCGACGGAGCCCAGGAGCCCCTGAGGCTGCCTGGAGGGGACAGAGCTGGCTGGCCCTGAGGCTAGGGGAACTCAAACTTGGCATTGGACCCAGAGGAGTGAAGGGCGGGGAGGCTGGACGACTGGATGCTGAAGAGAGCCTGGGGCTGGAGCAGAGGCGGTTCCTGCTCTCCCTAGACAGGGCATTCTTACAGAGGCCGGAGCAAAGAAGGCGGGTGCCAAAGAGTGAAAGCCTTCCACCAAGGATCTGGAAGGAAGGGGCAGCCAAGCGGGGTCTCGGGTGGTGCCTGGCACTGGGGGTGGGCAGCGCCATCATGAACCTGTTCCGGATCCTGGGGGATGTTTCCCACCTCCTAGCCATGATCCTCTTACTGGTCAAAATCTGGAGATCCAAGTCCTGTCGAGGTAAGCAAGTGATGGAGCAGAAACTGGGTTCGGAGGGGGAGAGTCGGGAAGAGAACCAGGCTCCAGGGAGAGACACGTTCCACAAAAGGGCAGTTAGGAGACCGGGGGCTCGAATCCTCGATGGGTGATTGTGGACAAATAACCTCCAGGCTTCAGTTTTCCCCTCTGTCAAATGGGGAGGCTGAATGAGATGATCTCTAAGGCAGAGCTCCAGAAAGCCCGAGTTCAAATCTTGCCCCAGGCCCCAGAAACTTACTAGCTGTATGGCTGTCTGGGCCTCAGCTTCCTTAGCTGTAAAATAAGGGTAATAATAACATCCACATCACTGGGTTGTTGCCATGAGATATGAGATAACAGATGCAAGAAATGAGACAATAGATGTGAAGAGCTTTGTGAACATTAATGTGTTATGGAACTGGGAACAATTAAAATTCTACCTTGGGATAGCCTTCTCTCTCTTTGCCTTTCTCTTCTTTTTCCATGGCTCCTGTTTTCCAGAATAACACTTTGCGCGTCTCCCCAGACGCTTCTGTTTTTCACCCTGGTACTTACTCACTCTTCTCTTCTCATCACCTTCCACCTCTCATCACCCTCTCCCATCTCCATGCAGGTCTCTCCCCAGCACTGATACCCAGACAGCCCCCCCCCCTCCACCCCCAAGATCTCTCTGCTTCTGAATGGCTTGGAGACAGAATCCGGGCAGGGGTGGGTGTGAAGAGGATGGCCATCAGTGCTGGAAGAGGGCGTGATGTGGCAGGCACTGAGGTGGATGGGAGGCTCCAGAAAGGAAGGGAATGACCAGAGAAGAGGTGGAGCTGGAGAAAGGGGATCCGTCAAGGCATTCGAGGGTGTTAGAGCAGGGAAAGACCTATCAATGTTAGACCATAGTCAGAGCTGCAGCGGACTTTAGAAAGTTGATTTGGTCAGAGCTGAGAAGGGACTTTAGAACACAGAATATCAGAGGTGGGAGAGACCTTAGAATACAGAGTATCAGAGCTGGGAAAGGCACAGAACACAGTATCAGAGCTGGGAAAGGCACAGAACGCGATACCAGAGCTTTGAACAAAAACAAAGGATGTTAGAACTGGGAGGGGCCTCAGGAAACGGGGTATTAAAACTGGGAGGGACTTTGGACACCATTGAATGCAGCCCTCTCATTTGACAATGGTGGAAACTGAGACCCAGCCAGTGGGGAGGAGCCTGCCCACGGTCACACAGCTGGACGGGGCAGTCAGGACGAGGACCCAGGCCCCTGACTCCCCATGGTATCCTGCTGCATCTGTAACTGGGAGCAAGGGATGGGAGGAGGGAAATGGGACGTTGGGTCTGCAGGGTGGCTTGGAGATGAGATTGTTGGGTCTCTTCTGCCTGGATCCTGAGGGCGGAACCAGAGCAGAACCGGAAGAAGAATGGGAGGCTTTGCAAAAACCACAGTTAGGCTGAATGTTAGGAAAACCCTCCTGCCAAATGAGAGCTGTCTGAAAGGAAGCATGATTTTGTGCTTCAACCTTTACCCCCCCTCCCCAATCAGAGGGCTTCAAACAGAGACTGAATGACCATTTGTTGGGTATTTAATCAGGAGCCTTCCTTTTGGGCCCGGACAAGAAGCCCACTGAGGCCCCTTCACCTCGGACACTGCGATTCTGTCTTCTCACTGAGAAGGCTTTCAGAGGGGACAGCTGGGGGCTTCAATCCAAGCCCCTGGGACTAGTCACCCTGTGACTGCAGAATTTTCTTAACCCACCATCTCAGCCCCCACATCCTCATTCTCCTTCCCTGGACCTAGAACTTGGTATTTGTGGACATCCCGCATGGAGACCTTTCAAGGCTCTGCTCTGCAGATCCCTGTGACCCATCCTGACCCTTGCTTTGCACAGGAGCCCTTTGGGGTGATAACTTGGTGCCCAGAACAGATATGCTCTTCTAGGCTAGACAGGAGAGAGGGGCTGGTGAAATGGCTCATTTCTCCTCTCAGCCCAATCCCGCTTTCCCCTGCCCACTGCATTTGGGCCTCCAGGAGGGAAACATGATGTCACTGGGAAATGGGGTTTCAGTCTGGGCTGTGCCAGTTTTGTGGCCTTCAGGGAATACTTTTCTCTTCCTGACACTGTTTCCTGTTTTGTAAAGTAAGAGGGTTTTGAATACCTTCCCAATTCTACCCCCCAAAATTGTAAGCTGAAGACAGGTCAATGGAAGGAAGGTGGACACGAGGGGCCAGACAGGGACAAGACATGGGACCGTCAAAAGACAGCTAGATTTGGGTCATCGTTGAGTCGCTGCAGGTGTGTCTGACTCTTCCTGATCCCAGAGGACTTGGGTTCCAATCCTGACTTTAGGCAAGTCACACAACCTCTGTGGGCCTCGGTCCTCTGTACAAATGAGGGTTGTTGTTGGGTTTTGGTTTTTTTGCCTAGGCAGTGGGGTTAAGTGACTTGCCCAGGGTCACACAGCTAGTAAGTGGTACGTGTGGGAGGCCGGATTTGAACTCAGGTCCTCCTGACTCCAGGGCCGGTGCTCTATCCACTGCGCCACCTAGCAGCCTTGAGGTTTTTTTAAAAGGTCCTTTTAGCTTCAAATCTTGGAACCTAGGAACTCTTCTTTGGAGATACTCACAGACTTCAAAGGTATTGTGGGGTTTGGGGAGGGAGGGGAAAGGGAGGCACCTGGAACAAAAACACTGACTGTAGATGAGATGCCAGGGGGTCCAGCCCTTCCAAGGCCAGGCTTCGTCCGCACTGTGGCCGGGGGGGGGGGGCAGTACATCCTCTTTCCCCTTTTGTGGGCTAACATACTTAAAGCCAACATACTTAAGCAAATTCATGTGACTCTGGGTCAGCACGCAGAACATTCATGGGCTCCTGCCACAGCCGTTCTCTTCCCCTCAGCCTTTAAAGTCACAGCCACAGTGGGGTCAGTCCACATGCCACCAGGAATGTGCCAATCACCCACCACTGGGAGATGATCAACAAAACCATAAGAGGCAGCGTGGGATAGTGGATGGAAGGCTGGACCTCACGTCGAGAAGATCTGAATCCTCTCTGGGATGTGACCCTAGACAACACAAACCCTTTGAGCCTCAGTTTCCCCATCTATAAAATGGGGATAATAACAGCCCCCACCATGCAAGTTTGCTATGAGGATAAAATGAGCTGATATAGATAAAGCACTTTACAAATCTCAGCTGTAGAAATGGAAGTTGTTGTTAATTAAAGTGCTTTCTAGTAGTGTAATATATGGAGTCAGGACAATGGATTTGGAGTCAATGGACCTGGGTTCGAATCCTCATTCTCTGTGACCTGAGGCAAACCTAGTTCTGGCCCTGTTCTGTAGATTTCCTTTTCTATAGAATAAGGAGATTGAACTAGATGATTTCTAATCCCTTTTGCCTTGAAGTCCATGATCACAAGTCCCTTAAGCTCTCTGGCCTGTGGTTTCTTCATATTGAAAAGGGAGTTGGAGTCTAAGCTATCTTTCAGCTCTAAATCCAATGAGCTTATGAAGCTCACTCCCTTCCATCTGCAGAGCCAACAACTGGTAGTTTTTTGGTGGGGGGAGGTAGTTTCCCATCTTTCTGCCTTTTTCAACTCCTATGATGTGTTTCAGGCATTACCCCAAGCCCTTTCCAGAAGAGCTAATGGGATGCTAAGCTTGTAGTGGAGGGATAGAACAGTGGAATCAGTGGGGAACTTTATATCCTGAGTTGGCCATCTGCCAGGCCCACCTCTGCCAAATACAGCCTTTCCTCCTTGCTGGGAACCGAAGCAAAAATCAAGGAGACCAAGAACTTGGTGGTATAGTCAATACAGCGCTGTCCTTGAAATCCAGAAGATCTGAGTCTGAATCTTGCTTCAGACACTTACTAGCTGTGTGACCCTGGGCAAGTCACTTCATCTGGCTCAGCCTCAGCTCCCTCATCTGTAAAATGGGGATAAGAATAGCACCCATCTCACACGATATTGATGAGGATCAATGACATAACATATGGAAAACACTTTGCAAACCATGAAGTGCTGCCTAATTGCTAGCTGGTATTATGGTTTAGATGGTGGCAAGTTTTGGTTCCATGAAGGGAAGGGCTATGAAGAAAGAAAGAAAGAAAGAAAGAAAGAAAGAAAGAAAGAAAGAAAGAAAGAAAGAAAGAAAGAAAGAAAGAAAGAAGGAAAGAAAGAGAGGAGAGGAAGGAAGGGAGAAAGAAAGGAAGGAAGGAAGAGAGAGGAAGGAAGGAATGTGGGAATGAAGTCAAGCTCTCCCCAGTTTTTACCCCCCCTTCAGTTATTCACTGGAGGGGTCCAGCAAAGGTCAGATAATCCTCCAACAGGTCACTGACTGGTTTGGATTGAAAGAGCCGTCTCACAAATTCTGTGCTTCCCAGGTGTGCACTGGGAAGTTTGCTCTCTAATTAATTCATGCCTTTTCTCCTGGATACAGGAATCTCCGGAAAGAGCCAGGCCCTGTTTGCTCTTGTCTTTACAACTCGATACTTAGACCTGTTCACCAACTTTATCTCCCTCTACAACACAGTGATGAAGGTGAGGAGGGGGGAAGTTTTACAAGGGCTGTGCATTTCTGTACACATACGACGACTTCATTTCTAAAGTACAGGCCTGACCATGCCTGCTCCAGACACTTCCGTGTTTCTCTATTTCCTCTGGGAAAAAGATAAAGATGTCTGCTTGACAATCCAACTTTTCTGTTCAGATAGATGTGTGTATGTGCATGTATATATATATATATATATATATATATATATATATATATATATACACACACATACACACATATGTACTTGTTTAAAGTATATGTGTATATGTATGTATGTGTACACACATACATGTGTATATATGTATTATGTGTATGTGTATGTGTATATATTCATGTGTGTGGATATTCGTATATATATATATATATACATATGCACATCTATACATACATACCCCTGATATATATATTTACATACACATGCATATGTATATATTTTGTGTGCAAATATGTATGTATACATGCATCTGCACACACACCCCGATATATACATGCATATACATGCGTATAGGTATCGTGTGTATATATGCAAATATACACAATGCATGTATATACATATATTATCGATACGTATTTGTATCCATACATATAGACACAAATGTTGCAAGCTTAAAAAAAAAGAAAGTTCAATTATTTAAATTTCTTTTGCACTTAGTTTGCAAATTTTGAGGAAATATATTTTTAATCTTAATTTTAACTAGCCAGGGCACCGTTACTATGCACTGTCGGTGGTGGGGATGGATCAGTAGAGGACAGCTTCTTGCTCAGCCGTTTCAGTTGCCCGATCTCTCTCTGAGGGACCTTCTGGTGGGGTCACACCCAAGTCGTCCTGTGTGCACCCAAATTGAGTTCTTCGGATGATTTTAAGGCTAGGATTACAAATGCAACCCTTCTGGTCACTGAGCAGCAGCCGATCAGTTTTTACAGTTTGAAAACTGACCAGGGCCACATATATCACCAGGTGATAGATATGTTGAATTTCATTAAGAACCATACCAATATTTTAAAATTTTAATAATGAACTTTTTTTTGCAAATTTGTAGCTTTTATGCTGGTGAAGTTACTCACGCTTAAAGCTGCACTAAGACTTTTGGGATGCACTGAATGAATTACCCCCATCACACACTCAACCCTCCAGCTTCTTTGTATTGCTGTTTTCTGCCCACAACATTTCATTTCCTCCTGTCTTTGTACAGGCTTTCCCCTGTAACTGTAACGCTCTTCTTCTTTACCTCTGCCTCTTGGAAAACTCCTGTGTCACCTCCTACAAGAGGCTTTTCCTTAACTCCCTCAGCTCTTACTGGTTCCCCTGGTACTGGGAAATTTATTTTGCATATGCTTTATATTTGCTTATCCCTATAGATGCTGTCCATTGCTACACATAATGGGTGCTGAATATAGGCTTTAAAAATTGTTTTCACAATAAATTTGCATTGCTATCTCATTTTTTACATCACTTATATTTGCATTTTCTTGGCAAAGATGCTGGAATGAGTTGGCATTTCCTTCTCCAGCACATTTTAGAGATGAGGAAACTGAGGCAGACAGGGTTGTGACTTGCATTTCCCAATTTATCACTCCTCCTCTCCCATTCCTAGAGAGTCATCCCTTATATCAAAGCTTTAAAATGAAGGGGGAAAAATTCAGCTAACTTAAAGCAATCCCTAAAATTAGTCTGTGGTTGCACGCAGCAATCTACCCCTTTGCCGCCCACCTCTCCAAAGAATGGTGGAAGGTGCCTCCTCACATCTCTTCCCTGGGGCTAACATTGGTCATTCTAGTTCCAAAACGCCTCATTTTTTTTGTGTGTGTGGTTCTGTCCCTCTGCATTGTTCATATAAAGCCCTCCCATGCTTCTAGGGATGGTTCATTTCTCAGAGCCCAAGAATCTTCAGGGACATTCCTGTCCCACAGGTTGGTCAGCCATTCCCTGATGAAGAAATGCCTGTCGAATTGCATTTCAGCAGAGAACAAACATTTCTGACACTGTCGCTTACACATCTACTGAACTGGAAACTCCCAGGGACTGTGTTTTAATCAAATGGTGTCTCTCCCCGTGTTTAGTACAGGACCCTGTACAGAGAGATTGCTTAAATGGAATGTTTGCTGAGCGAATGAAAGGAAGGTCAAAGCAACCTGATCTCAACATCTCTTTGAAAGAATGCAGGCTGTTAACAATTAGTGCCAATGTTATTTCCCATGCTCCACCAGAAACACCTTCAAAGAGGGGCTTGTTGGCAGGTTGGCATGACCGTGGGTTCTCAGGGACCGTGCCAGAGGAGCACAGAGTGCAATCGTTCAAGCATTTATGAAGCACATGTTAAATGCTGGGAGCTGTGGTGGATGATGGGGACACAACCTCATCATCGTGACCAAGTTAGCATTTATTAAATAGCGCCTGCTGTGTGTCAGGCACTGTATTAAGAGCTGGTGATACGAAGCCACAAACATGGTCAGTGCCATCAGAAAGCTCACAGCCCAACTGGGGGAGATGCCAGCCAGACAACTACATATACACAAAATACATACAGCTTAATTAAGCAGGAGACAATTTCAGAAGGAAGGCACTAGTCAGAGGGAAGGGGAGAGAGGCTTGGGAAAGGTTTTCTGCAGGAGATGAGATTAGAGCTGAGTCCTAGAGGAAGCCAGAGGAACCAAGAGACAGAGGAGAGGAGGGAAGGCATTCCAGGTATGGGGGACAGCCAGTTCAAAGGTGGGGAGTCAGGAAAAGGTGTGCACTGCATAAGGAGCAGCCCCAAAGCCAGCGTCACTGGCTAATAGAGTATATTTGTGGAGGGGAATAAGGGAATAAGAAGACTGGAAAGGTAGGAAGGGACCAGATTATGAGGGGCTTTAAGAGTCAAAGGAGGGGGCAGCCAGGTGGCACAGTGGATAGAGCACTGGCCCTGGAGTCAGGAGGACCTGAGTTCAAATCCGGCCTCAGACCAAACACTCACACTTACTAGCTGTGTGACCCAGGGCAAGTCAGCTAACCCCAATTGCGTTAAAAAAAAAAAAGTCAAAGGAGGATTTTATATCCTCCAAGTAACAGAGAATCACTGGTATTTGCCAAATAGGGGAGGGATATGGTCAGACTTGTAGGCAGCTAGGTGGTGCTGTAGTGGACAGAGCACCAGGTCTGGAGTCCGGAAAACTGAGTTCAAATCCAGCCTGAGACACTTACTAGCTGTGTGACCCTGGGCAAGTCACTTACCCCTTACCTGCCTCAGTTTCTTCATCTGGAGGAGGAAATGGCAAATCACTCTAGTATCTTTGCCAAGAAAATCCCAAACGGGATCTCAAAGAGGCTGACATAACTGAAAAACGACTGAACAACAACACAGTCAGACTTTTGTGCTTTGGGAAAAATCAACTTAACAAATGATGGAAAATGAATTGAACCGGGAAGAGACTTGCAGGGAAGCTTGAAAGCAGACTTTTCCAATAGTCTAGGCATGAAGTGATGAGGACCTTCCCCGTCGTCAGAGGAGAGGAGGTGACATGTTGAGGATGTTGCCAAGGTAGAATCTACAGGGCTTGTAGCTGATTGGCTATGGGGAGGGGGGTGGAGCTAGACGATGTCTACTTGAGGATGACTGTCTAGGTTGCTAGCCTGCAGTGAGGAGGATGGGGACAGCCTTGACAGTAATGGCAAAGTGTGAAAGAGGGACGGGTTTCAGAGGAAAGATAACCAAGTTCGTTGTTTGGATTCATCAGGCTTGAGATAAGAGCAGAAACGGTCCCCCCACCCCACTCCGGGAGTTTCCCTCCCAAGGCCAGAAGGTCCTGCACCAAGTGCTTCAAGTGCAGATTCCACGATAGATGTTCAGTGTCCAACAAGTATTTATTCAGCTCCTGCTCTGCCAAGCCCTGGCCTACAGGTTGGGGATTCAAAGACAAAAACGAAAATTGGTCCTCGCCTTGGAGGAGCTCATATTAAACTTGGCATCGCCATCACCACCTTGGAGGCCCCTGACAGGTCGGCTGAGCCAACCGCCTCCCGCTGTGCAGCTGGGATCTGTATCCTAGGAGTATCAGTTATGCCCACCACCCCCACCTCTGAAGACTGAGCTAGCCCCATCAAAGAGTTCTCAAAAGCCAAGTCAAAGAGGGGTGTGGAGTTAAGTGCAGTGTTCCCTTGTTCTTAGGGACTCCGGGGTTCCTCTGAACCAGGGCACCTTATCCGGCATTCAAGGCTAGGATAGCACCAAGAGGACACCAGGTGCTCCCTTTGGGGCACATCGGGCATGGTGCAGACTGGCCCAGGGGTCTAAAGGAATTCACTCTGCCTCATTTCTTTTCTCGTAGGTGATCTTCCTGCTGTGTTCCTATGTCACCGTATACATGATTTACTGGAAATTTTGGAAATCGTTTGACAGTGAGAATGACACGTTCCGCCTAGAGTTTCTCTTGGTCCCAGTTACTGGTCTCTCCTTCCTTGAGAATTACAGTTTCACCCCGCTGGAGGTAAGGAAAATGAAAAGCTGCTTCCCCCTGCCTTCTTGTTCAAAGGTCCAAGACTCCGGGGTGGGGAACCTGTGTGTTGGAGGCCACATGCGGACCAATCCAAGTCCTCAGGCCTCCAAGCTGATTCAGCCCCTCTTCCACAACACTATTGCAGGAACATAAATAAATGTCCCTTGGTCCTTCGACCAGAATTACAGACGCTCAGGGAGTTTGCCAGACCATAGCCTCAAACCAAAAGCTACTGGGCAATTACACTTCCCTGGCCACTGTAGGTGTTTTTTTTTTCTTTTCATAAAAAAAAAAAGCCTTTTAATTGCTTTTTTAAAACCTCGCACAAATTGTATAATTTAAACTTTAGAGTGCGTAGTTTAAAAAAATAGCAGAAATCTTATTTGCTTAAGACCTTTTAAAAACTACATTCAGCATCACATTCTCAAAGTTAATTCATAAAATAAAGTCCAGAGATTGAATGAAAAGCTAATTTAGCTTCTCAGAGGATCTAAACCTGGCAGACATTTAGTTTGGACTTGGGGCACAGAGCACCTGGATTCAAGTACTGGCCCACATGACTTTCCGAAGATTTTCTGGCCTCCCAAGGCTGGGTCTCCTTCCTAAAATGGGGGGGTTTGGATATCTCTTAGGTCACTTTCAGCTCTAAACTTATGATCCCAGTTTGTGAAGACAATGTCACAAGAGGGCATTAGTCCTGATTTTTCTTTGACTTCCACTATAGACTTCAGGACACATCCCCATCATCTGTACCACAAGGTCAGCCTAGGTCAGCTCCAACATCATTTCCAGCTCTAAGGACTGAGCCAATATGTATGCTGCCTCCTGCTATCTCCTCTGGGGATGCCAGGAAAACTGTTCATATTTGTACTTCCTCTTAAAAGGAACCCCACAAGAAATCAGTCCCAACTCACATTTCACAATGGCCTTGGGCTCATAGATTTAGAGCAGGAAGATGTCCCAGATGGTATCCGTCTTCTGACTCCCTGCTGCATCTCTCCTGACTGCACTTCCCTTTGGTCAGATCCTCTGGACCTTCTCTATCTACCTGGAGTCTGTGGCAATCCTGCCCCAGCTTTTCATGATCAGCAAGACCGGGGAGGCAGAGACCATCACCACTCACTACCTTTTCTTTCTGGGGCTTTATCGAGCTCTTTATCTGGCCAACTGGATCTGGCGGTACCACACGGAAAATTTCTATGACCAGATTGCGGTGGTGTCCGGGGTGGTACAAACCATCTTCTACTGTGACTTCTTCTACCTGTATGTGACCAAAGGTAGGTGCCAGGGCAGGGTGGAAGGCGGGAACAGTATTGTTACTCCCTAATAAAGGCCACCCCCAAACGAATTCAGTAGTCGACCCAATCAAATCAACACATCTTTCACGTCCAGAACTGGAAGGCTCACCTCAACAGTCCTCCAAAATAAAAATTAGGCAATAGACCGATTAGTTTTGAAGCCCTTCCAATTTCATCTTCATTTATGCTATTGTTTGTGAACACAGATTAGTTTGTGATAGACCTTTCCACTCTGCATTGGCTCACACAAGTTCTCCCAAGTCTAATTCTTGGACTTACTTCCGATAGTGAAGGCACTGCATTCACATGCCCATTGAGACATTCCCCAATCTGCATCCACCCACTCTCCTCCCCACCCCACCCCCCACCGCTTACTACAAAGAGCGCTTAGCTTTCTGTGAACACAGGGTTATTAGCCTGTCTTTAACCTAAGTGGTGTATGCCGTCTTTGATCTGGTGACACCAGCCAGTCCAAGTCACAGCTCCACTAACTATGCATTGATGCACCTATTTTTCCACAGCCCCTACATTCATTGCTTTCACTTTTGTCTTCTCTTCGCTTATCTGATGGCTAAGCTTTAATCTGCATTTATATTTGGAACATTTATGGGTTTTGATAGCTGGACTTTTTGGAAATTTCCCCCATATCTTTTGGACGTGCAATTATTGGGGAATAAGCTTCTGTTCTTATATTATTTGAATCTATTCTCTATCTCACAGACCTTTCATCAAAATATTTGACATATTTTCTCCAAACAACTTCTCTTCTGGCAGCATTAACTTTGCTTATGCAAATGCTTTGCTTTATAGAATTGAAATATCCTTTCTTTCCCCTCTTATGGTCACCCCTATTCCGTTAGTCAAGAATTCCTCCCATGTCGCTTCCCCCTACCCACCTTCAACCAGTCGTGCAATGCAATTTCAAAAAATCTTTTCTCCAACAATGACATTTTGTATTTAGGTAGTGTGTCTATTTGGACTATATTGCGGTATAGCAAGTGTTGATCTAAACCTAATTCCTGCCCAACTATGGCTTTCCTGGTGTTTGCCAAATAGGGGAGTTTTTCACCAGCAGTTAGCATCCTTGGGGCCAATGAATCTAGATTCTGCTTACCTGGCCTGGTCCACTGATCAGTTTTCCTATATATTCTTTGATAATTTGGTTAGCATTGCATTAAATCTATGAATTTAGATGGCACAATTATTCCTATATTAATACAGCCTAACTACAATTTGCTTCCTTCCAATTACTCACCCTATTTCCGTAGCTTTTTACTGTTTTTAAGAACCAAGCAAGTGGACTCCCAGATTTTACGCGTTTTGTAGTTATCTTGAATGGAATTTCTTTTCCCATCTTGTTTCTTGTCAAAAGCTTAATTTTTTAGTTTTTCATCTTGCTACTGAAATCAGACTGTCTGAGCTAGTTTTGTTTAATCTCTAGGAATAAGTAAACCCTTCTATCTTCTGCCTATGCTCAACGACAAGGTTTTTAGTTTAACTAGCATAGCTTTTCCCACCCATTTCACCAACTCCTCTAATATTCCACAATTCCCCAACTCCAGCATCTGTCTTTAGCCTGCAGCACCTCTTGGGAGTTATACAGCACCCCAAGACCGTTCTCCTTTTACTCCTCCATTAAACATCCTGGGGCCTCTAGCCCCATAGCTCCTGCTCCCCAGTCTTCCTAGGTATCTTTGGTCAGCCAGCTGAAAAGACTCCCAAGTCATCACCTGAGAAAGGCTGTCCCCCAAACCTCTTGCCAAACAATCCTTAGCCCCAGATAACCTCCATCCTCTGGGCATCTCCCAGTCACCAGAGAGGGAAGTAATGGAGCTCAGCTCTCACCCACATCTTAGCCTGGCTGTCATAGCTCCTTGGAATTCTGACTGCCTGGCAGCTGATTAACCAGGGCAACTGGTCCAAGGAAACTCTCAAAGCCGGAACGAACCGACCCCCCACCCCCAAACACAAACCAAAAGTCTCCTAGAGATGGGCACATTAGCATCGTCTCAGAGGTATCCCTTCTCCCAACACTCGTCTCAATTCCATTTCTTCCCACCTTCCCCCATGCATCTTAACTCTCCCTTTCTCTTCGTTCCTTCCCATGCATCTAACAAAGGAGATGGTTCAGTTTCTTCCTCCCTCACCAGACAGCTCCCAAAGGTTGACAATGACCAATCCAAAGACCCCTTCTTAGGGGGTTTTCCTTACTTGACTATCCCTGCGCGACTACTCCTCTTCCTTATCTTCAGACACTAGTCCTCTCCTAGCTACTCCCATTTCCTTCGTCCCTATTCTTCTTGATGCAGTTGCTCACTTGGGCGTTTTTCCGTACCCTCTCCCCTGACAATCTCACCATTCAAATTTACTATGTCCAATAACTTCAGCACCATAACCAACCTGCCCTCTTCCAAATTCATTTCTGCTGGCTCCCACAATCTCCAAGTCATTCTTAGGTCTTCATCCTCCCTAGAAAGCTGTCAATTCTTGTCAGTACTACCCTTAGTGGTGTGGCCTCCTTTCAAAACACCCTTTATACCACGGCTACCACGTTACTAAGGCCCAGGTGTGCATCACGTCACTTTCCAGCTCAAGAAAGCATCAGGACTCCCTACTTCCACCAAGATCGCCCACCCAAAGAGGAACCTCCACTATCCCCCACCCTCTTATCAGTGCTTGCTGACATGCTCTGGATACGGCAGCAAAGCCTAACTATCTCCTTTTTGTCTCAACAGTACTTAAAGGAAAGAAGTTAAGTCTCCCAATGCCCGTTTGAAGACCCAACTGAGAAGTTACACAACACCCCCAGGCACCCATGGACCTCTTTCAGAAGTGCTCTTCCCAGCTTGCTGACCACCAGCTCCTGCAGTTACTGTGGTGCTCTTTTGAACAAAAGGAGTTCCAGGGAGGAATGGAGAGAAGACTTCCTTTTCCCTCCCTGAGATGTGCATCTAGCACTTTACAAATGAAGGGTGGGACAATCCCTGGGGTTGCAGTGTGTGACCCTGTAGCGAGCATCCCTCGAGCCAGGACTGCCATCGTTCTCCCAGGTCATCCAAGCAGATTCTAACCTCCTTGGGGAGGCTGCACCAAAAGAAGTTAAACTAAGTCTTCCTATATTAAGATACACATACTTCAGTCTTTGTCAAATTAGCAGTAAAATGTGAAAATTGGTGACCTAGAATTGTTAAATATTGTTATTCCCCTTAAAATATAAGCTTTATATACATCTTGAGGGGAAAATGCACCTCCCTGGGTCTTTGCATATTAGTCCCTTCAAAGTTCTAGGACACTGACCAAGGTTACAGAGAGGTGCAAACCACTGTAGTTCAATTATTCACTGGACTTCTGCTAAAAAGAGAATTTTTGGGAATGAAAAAGTGGCACTTTTATTGTCAACAGTGTTTTTATTTATACCTACAAAAGAAAACAAGATGGTATCAAAAGACAATTTACAAACTAGGAATAGTAACATAGCTTTTCATATCCTGTGCCTGAACATTACACATCTATGAATCTTTCAAGTCAAGTCTTACTGCAACAGGAATGTGTTCGGAGACCAGCAAGGGCATGAACAAAAGCACTGATCCCACACAAAGCCACTGACCCTTCAGTTAGAGAAGTCCACACAGTGAATAGTCAGGGAGGGGTCAGAAGTAGCCCACGATTCCACAATAAGCCCCTCCCCCCCCCAAAGGGTTTCAACGCTACAAATGCAATTGTAGTTATCAATGCAGGTCCTTCTGGATATGCACTTAACATAACAGCAGTTGGAATCTGCATTTGGAGCCCAAACGCATGAGGACATGGGAGGCTGATGCTCAGGATGACACAGGAGGGACCCTTGCAGACTTGTCAGATCCAAGCTGCAATAGCTTTTGAGATGTGCTGTTAATCCCATTTTACAATGAAGCAGGAGCAAACTAAACGCTGTCTTGCTTGCCAAGAGACCCTTTTCTCATTAACATCAGCTTTTAAGAGCTGTTACGGGGCAGACTACCTCCCTGGCGCACTTCTGCATGAGAACTCACAGGTGAACAGTTTCACATCTGTTTGAGGGGAGAAGAAAACATCTACAACAGACTGATCAGTGCTCGGGACAGCAAAAGTTCTTTGGGGGCCTCTGTTTAAAGATACACAGCATAGGGCAAACTTTTCGCCACAGAACAGGTGCCTTTCCCCACCTCCCACCCCATATCCTCAACTTTTACAATAGAAGAAAAAAAATTAAAGAGAGGGGCAGAGAGAAATGGAGGGTAAGGGGAAAAAAAGGAAATATGAATGCCCAACAGCTTACATGCACAGAATTCCAGCTTATGCTAACAACCTACCTGTATGTTGCACACTTAACCAGACCTTCGGAAGCCCTCAGGACCCCCTCCCTCCCTTTTATTCTCCCCCTAAAGAAAATCAATGGGGGAGGCCAAACCCAGATCTTATCAACCAACAAGTACACTCCTTCAGCTGAAGAAATGCAGCCCACTGAGACTCTGAACAATCCCATAACTGCCCACAATAACCAAACAAAGCCTCTCTCTTTGGCCTTTCGGAGAGGTGTTTGGGGTTCTGCTGCTTTGCCAAAGGATGTCAACAGAGTAACTAGTTAGGGAGAGATGAGAAATTCTGTGAAACAAGGGCAGGGAATTCTCTCCAGGATCTGCCGTTCCTGGCCCATCTGCCAAATGAAGTCACATTAGAGAATAGACAACATGCTTAACTACAAACAGCAAACACTCACCTACCTTCAGATGGAGAAAAGAGCAAATTAAATGCTTACGTTCCAGTCTTTCCTAATCTTTCCCTAAAATACTACCTACCTGTAAAAACTGACCACAATAGGATCCTGGAGAAACATACCCAGAAGCTCAGTTATAAAGGGAGTTTTACATCAGTGAACTCAGAACAGCTCTGCCTAATCCCTTTTGGGTAAAAAGATAAGAGGATGACAGCAAAAAAGGGGCGTCCACCCTAGATCTGTAAACATTGATGGTAATAGGAAAACCCTGTTCACTGCATAGAGATTCAGAAAATTCTCTGCAATTAAAGGTCCTTTATATCCTGCAGGTAAATGCATGGAATTAAATGGTTAATAAAAATCTGCTTTGTCTCATGGGCATTTCTGTCAGTCTTGCCCACAGCAGCTGTCTGGATGGAAACTGACTTTCACAGATGGTCCCTGGCAAAGTGAGGAATAGATACAGACAGCTCCCACCCAGCTGCTGAGATGCTATACTTTAAGCATCCCAGAAAACACTCATGTTTTTTTCAAATTAAAGACATTCACTTTAAACACCAGCTTGTATTTCTGGCCAGTTAAATCCAGATTCTCAGCAATCTAATTTCCATGACATTATGGCCGACCATCAATGATGATTTTTCAGGGAAGTGGGTGACATGGGAGTGGGAGGAGGCAGAGTTAAATACCCAATCCAATTTGAATTTGGTTGCCGTGAAATGTTTAACTGGCAATCAACCATGTAAAACCTTAAAATATGGGAGCTTAGAAATGATGCCCAGTGCCCATTATAAGAACTCCACTCCAAGCTAGTTTCCGAGAACTTAGAACATCACAGTAAATGCTCTGCATGCTCTCCCTGCACCCCAGTCAAATGAGCACATGAAAGCATGAATGCTGCGCTCTCCTGTGCTACGCTGCAAATCTCCCTCCCCCCTCAAACTCTGTAACTTAAGACAAAACAAAAAATGGGCTAGGATTGAACTGCCTAATGCCCATTTTTTTTCCTTTTAAGAGAAAAGAAAGCTCAGCTCAAATTTCCTCAACATGCAAGAAGTTGGAGGAAAAAAAAGGGAACGTTTCCAGTCAGCTATATATTTTTTACAAAACTTCTAATATGGACTGGATCATTTTGGCGGGCAGAAGAAATCTGGCAGTGGAATTCTAACTAACCTGCATGAAAGACAAATCACAATGGTTAAAAGAAAAAAAAAAGGGAAGAAAGTAAAAAGGAAAGAGAGTTCCTTTAAATGTAAGTAAGAGGTCTGGACACGTCTCACCACCACCTGAGTAGCTTCACTTACGGGAAGGAGGCGGGGGAGGCGGAGGGGGGGGATACTGGTAGGCGGTCTGCCCCATGTAACCTATCATGTTAGTAGCCCCAGGAGGCTGTGGAAACTGCTGAGACATCAGAGGCTGGGGCTGCTGCCCTGAGCGGCCCAAGCCGCTGTACTGCTGGCTGGAGCTCTGAGAGCTTCTCCCAGCCGAGGCAGTACTACTAGCGCCATAGGTGCCAGCCCCGTACTCCTGAGCTGCATAGCCACTGGTGCCATAAGCAGCTGCCCCATAGGTGCCTTGGCCATAGGTATATTGGCCTGCTTGAGCTCCAAAGGCAGAATTGGGACTGCCATAGCCACTACCATTAGCGTAACCAGCTCTGTCCGTATCTCCACGATCACGATAGCTCCCAGAGTCTCTCCGGCTACCATCTTTAACTCCTCGAAGCCTGCGGTCACATTCATCCTGGTACATCAGATTGGGATTGTTGACCGAAGAGGTGGTACGGTATCGAGAACGACCACCTAATGGAAAGATGCGTGGAATTACACAGGATTTTAACATGACTGGATATGATCAGGTAGACGACAAGAGGACCTCACACTTTTCCTAATTCTTATAACTGTAGGCAAATCCCAAAGCTACAACTTTCTTAAAAAGTTATACAGCAATTATTTCTAATAATTTTCCTTCACTTCCACTTCCTCTAAGAAGACCCACAAAAGCTAGATCTCACATATCATGAAGAGAAGGGAACAGTCAACTTGTAGATACAGTTCTTTAGTTACTCCCTGTTTTCCCCACTGTCCATACCACAACTGACAACTGCTTTTTTTTTTTTTACATTTAAGTATGTGAGCTAAGCAAACCTCATTTCAGAGGTTTAGGTGACATAGCTGAGCTTTCAAAAAAATGACAGTCAGGAAAGTGGCCAGCTGCACTGACCCATGCAAGTTCTATTTGATTTTTCTAACACTAGGATTTGAAAATCTTTCTACAACTACAAAAAAAGGGGCCAAAGTTATTCACCTCTCCTATAGGGAAAATAAACAGCATACAGTACAAATCAGTGACATCAATAAAACTTTCTGAAAATAAAGCAACACAAGTAATTTATCCTCAATTTTGAGTGTTCCTGCACGTACTTCTAAACAGTAACTACTGATCGTACAGTCATCATGGTCACTGAGACTGGCAGTCAGAAATCTAACAGAAGACATGCTAACGTTGGAGAAGGAAAGGGTAGGATGAAGTTCTATTCTAAATATTGTGATGTATCTTCCCAATGAACAGGGTATCAGACCCAGGCTACACCTATGCAACAGAAGACTAAATTGTAACTTTCAACAGAGAAGGGAAGAAACAAAACCAGTTTTCCCTTCCGCCTCTCCTTAAGCTCAATAAAACAAAACTGCCATGTAGCTGGCTTTCACCTGCCCCCAATGGACCAAAGCAGAGAGAGTAACTATTCAAAGCTCCACAGAAGGATCTGAAAAACCCCAGAACTTAAATCTTACCCCCGCCTCCACCACCACCTCTGTGGTCCACCAGCTGCATCAGTTTTGGGTTGATGGCCTGGTTGGCCTCCTCTAACACTTTGATTAGTTCCCTAGCTTGTTTTAAGTTTCCCGGGGTGAAGAATGTGTAGGCGGTGCCTTTGTTGGTGCTCCGGGCTGTCCGGCCAATTCGGTGCACATAATCCTCAGAGCTGTTTGGGTAGTCATAGTTGATCACAAACTTAACGTCTTCCACGTCTTCAGGACCAGCGGCGAATCCCGAAATGGGGGTTGAAGTGGTGGGAAGAAGGTAAAAAATGTGCCAACGACAGGTGGGAAGCACGGAGGTAGATGACAGCAAGAGGAGAGAAGGATAAATTAGTAACCACACTGAACAGAAACAAAACAGACTCATCCCAACAGAGTAAAAGAGGGAGAAACAAGATTAGTTCATCTTGGGGACCCCGCAAGTGGCACATCACCCCCAAATGGATGCAAAAGTACTTAAGCAACCATCTGTCAAGTCCCGCCCATGCGTAATCGAAAGCACTTCCTGGAATGCCAGGAACTCTCCAAGACCCCCTCTGCGGAAGAGTCAAGTGAATTCCAGCCCCCTCCTCTCCAAACTCACTGGAACATGGAGCAAAATGGTACCATTGTTGTAAGTAAGGGCAAACCACTTCGACTCTGTTGGGAGAAGCCCAGCAAAATTTAACAGTAATATCACACACTTACCTTCAAACCAGTCACAAGACAAAAACAGAGCTGCATATACTTTCTCATGACTACTTTGTCAAAGGAGCTTAACAACCAAAACATTTCACGTTCTTTATTAACTCCCCATCGTTCAACTTTAGAAACACTCCTGTTACAAATTCTGC